ATGTAACTGATGAAGAATTAATATGATGTGTAGCAACCAACGTTAGTTGATTTCTTGAAGAAATGTACTGTCAATTACCTTGCCTTTGTTCATGTATGATATTAAGGTATTGGTGTTAATACTATATACTATTTGTTTGTTTACCTTCAGTGTCTAGTGTAAGAATATGTGTAGCGTATGCGATGTATATTTCTCTACCTGTTAGAAATATCAGTGCATGAGTATGTATCGTACCCGATATCTGCAGTTTAACTACCCACTTTTTTAATTGCATTCCAATTCTTAGTAAAAAAAAAAAAAAACTCAATTGAAATCTACTCAGCTCCTCAGAGAACCTACCATAGTAGATATTTTTGATAATAATGTCAAATAACATTTAAACAGCGTCTGCAAACTATGGAGGCCAAGGGCAGAAGGAAAAAAGAAAACCTTGTTTTAAATTACTTGAAAATAATACTATAATACTGTCTTCAAGACAAACAGTTTACAAAAGGACAGGAAAATAGCATTACAATTGGTATATAACTGCTATTTTAGCTCTTACAGAAAGAAATCAAGTGGAGTTTGCATATTTTTTAATAATAATTTTGAATTTGAGATTCACAGTACATGGAAAGACAAAAAAGGAAATGCAATAGCCCGTGATATAAGCATTGAAAAGAGTAGGTTTTCTTTAATTAATATATACGGTCCCGATAAAGATGATCTACGTTTTTATGAAGGAATATGTAAGCAGATTATTAATTTTAGCAATCCTAGATGCATAATTTGAGGTGACTTTAATTTTTTTTCGGATCAGGAAAAAGACACAAACAATACACAACCCAAATGCCCGTAAAAGATGCCCGTAAAAGACTTCTTAAATTGATTGAAGAAACATATTTAATTAACTCATTGAGAATTGTTCATCGTACTTATAAAAGATATACATTGCGGAAGAAAAACCCTATAAAACAAGCTAAATTTGACATTTTTAACTATATTGAGAAGGTTAATATTTATGTTGGTTACAGATCAGACCATTCTATAACATCACTAAAAATCAAATTAAATAACTTTGTGAAAGGGAGGGGCCTATGGAAATTTAATAACAGTCTTTTATATGATCAATAATATGACCAATTTACGGTCATAATATCTGTAATATAACTGATGAAGAATTAATTGTATGTGAAGATTACCAAAGTTTTTTGGAAACATTGATAATGGAAATCAGGGGAATAACTATATCATATTCGTCGTTTATGAAATAAGCGGGATAGAAGAAAAAACGTTTTAATATCTAATCTAAAAAAACTAGAAGAAAATAATGTATGGGCTACTTATATAGATAAAAATAAACGTTAACAATGAGCTAGAGAAAATTAGAAAAATAAAAATGAAAGGGCATAATATAAGTTATTTGGCTTGACATACAAACACACAATTATGTTAATAAAACTATTATTAAAGTTGAAAAGATAATTGGGAAATTAAAACTAGTCAAGATGAAATTCTTAAGAAATATGTCTTTTCTGGAATTATCACTGACATTAACTGACAAATGGGTGAAACCTTATAAAGTGTACCGAGATGTCCCGAAAGGCGAACAACGTCTAATAAAACGCTAATAAAACGATTTTTTGCTGCAACAGATAAGTATTTCGAAAATATCAATCAAGTTATAATAAGGCCATGAGGGTCGTGAACAATTTTCGTCACGAAATGTTTTACGTCATTTTGAGTGATCAGTTCGGTTATTGATGTATATGTGATTTAGCAAGTGGCTAAGTTACAGATTTCCCAGGATACCCCAAAAAATATTTTGTAATATAAACTTGTACTTTTGGGTTCCAATACAGGAATCCGATAAAGTTAAGGCTAGAAGATAACTTTGACTCCATATCCTGGAACCAGCGATCCTACGTGTCCTACCTCCATTTCCATGGTAAGTTCAATATAACTCACTGTTCCAACATACCCCATACAAAACTTATCGGTACATGTATCACATATTTCAGTGACACAATTAACAAGAGCCAACCCAAAAGACACCAAAGAATGATCCTATAATGTGACAAGAACGAAACTGAAAACTGATACAACAACACAGTAATTGAAATATGCATGAAGACAAAAACCAATGCTCCAGAAAGGTGGTCGACCCATTCAGTGGTAAAATATTTAGAAGCTTGATTTTCACAGATATTACAATTATATCTTAGATAAAGAGGGAGATCATCGTTTCTTCGTTAGTTCTTTCGAATTGTTCCAATAATGAGGAGAAAACACAATATTACTGCTTATCAAAGCATTGCTAGTCTGCAAGCAATGACGTCAGTTTTGTAAAGTAAGATAAGCAGTTCATGTTGAAATTGTTTCAACACCAACTCAATTCATCACCCCATGAAATCAATTAACGTGTTGTTTTCAATAATTGGAACTTGTGAAGTCCATTCTGATCGTTTGCCCCAGATCTGGAGCTTGTGCAAGTCTACGTATTGACGTAATGTAAAAAAGATATAGTCCGTCATTGAAAGACCATCATACAAGATAATGGTGTACGTTGATACGCTAGATTATATAGAAACAAAACACAAAACCATATTTTAAATGTCATATTTATTTTTTGTTAATAAATTCATAAGATATCAAGTTTTCTGATGCGTCATCACGGAAGAATAATGTCTAGACGCGGAACACAGGCTCAGCTGTGAGTCCACGGCAGCCATCTTTCACTAGCTCGAAGTGGGGATCCGCTAAATTTCTAGGTTCTTCATCTTCTGGAATGTGAAGCTGCAGTGATTGGATGTCGAATTAGACAGGAAACTAATTGTGGCTTGAAAGGACAAAACATTTGATATGGCATTTTGCTCTCCGACTGTATTTCATATAAGACGGGACCACATGAATCTACCACAGGGGTTCGTTATACTGATCAGATATGAGTCACAACACAAATAAACATAATTGTGTACATATATGTTATACTGATATGGGTCACAGCACACGTAAACGTACATGTGTATGCTTGTGTATGTGTTCTATGACCCATATCAGTCATTTGTAACGAACCCATGTGGATCTACGTTTTTCTTTTTTTTTGTACCAGGGATTGCACACGGCAGAATGGGTAGATGGAGGGAGAATGTCTAGGACAGTACATGACTTGTCACTACCGCTAGTAACCATGAGCTGATAATATTTTGCTGATTGATCCTTTTTGGTTGTTTGAACAATTTCTTGTGTTGCTTCAATAAAAAATGTAAAATCTCATCAAGTTTATCTTTGTTTAAACATGTCAATAGTTAATCCCTTTGCAAAATCATACGCACACGCAAGGTTAATCTTGTCAAATTCATCGGCAAATGAAACAGGTTACATTTGGTAGTTGCATTGAGTCCAACTTAAGTAGGAATTGAAGTATTAAGTAATGAAACACCTTTATTGAGAAATCCATTAATCGTTGAAGCAAATTAAACCAAGTCAACACTCGTCGCACCCTTTGTCTATTCCACTCGTTTTGGAATCATTTGTGACATCAACTGACAAATGGGTGAAAGTGTCTAAAATCTACCGAGATGCCCCGAAAGGCGGACAGGGCCTAATTTAACGCTAATAAAACGATTTGTGCTGCAACAGATATTTCGAAAGTATTAACCAAAACATAATAAGCTATATGGGTCGTGAACAATTATCGTCACAAAATGTTTTACGTATTTTTGAGTGATCAGTTCGGTTATATATATACAAGTAATTTAGAAAGTGGCTGAGTTGAAGAAACACAGGATAATCCCAAAAACATTTTTGTCAAATAAATTTGTAATTTAGTGTTCCATTACAGGAATCTAATATAGTAAAAGCTAGTAGATCAAGTTTATGCGTGATTCCGAATAGATGTGATGTATATATTGTACATTTCAAGTATTCACTGTATTTGCAAAGAAATACCAGGAATTCGTTACAGGCAACTGCCTCCAATACCGAAATTAACCGCGTTCAAGTCTTTCCATGGCTTGACTTTTAACTAATTTAGTGTCCGTCTTACCATTTCTAAGTCTCGGAAACTTATCGAACCTCAGAAAGTAGGAAGGTGTACTACCCAGCACATTATCCCCGAGGATAGCTCGACATTTCTTGTCAAGTTCATATTCTGAAGTATTTACATCCTCATCCAGTATGTAACAGGCGCACACTTCCTCTAGGAGCCGGTCGTCCGGTACCGATATCACTACAACCTCCCTTACACCCGGGAGTTTAGACATCGCTACTTCTACCACTCTGGTCAAAACCTTCAAACCGCCACGCATAATAACATCATTAGATTTCCCTTTCACAAATAACTTGCCGTCGACGGTAATGTTCCCGATGTCTCCGGTTCGAAACCAGCCCCCTTCCGCAAATGAGGCTGCGTTTAACTCAGGAGAACTCCTGTAGGACTTCAATATCCATGGTGACTTCACAAGAATTTCACCCAACTGACCACGATTCAGTGTTGCACCGTTGCCTCCGATGACTTTGACTTCACATCCTGGAAACAGTGATCCTACGTGCCCTTCCTCCATTTCTTTGGTAAGTTCAATAGAACTCACTCCTCCAACTTCGGTACAACCATACCCCATAAAGAACTTCTCTGTACATGTACCACATATTGCAGTGAGATGAGATCCGACATGCTGTCCACCGGTACCAATGGCGTACAAAACGTAGCCATGTTTAAGGATAACGTCAAGATTGTCAATGATCTCGAGCAACGCATATGGGAGTAGCATGGCGTTTGTGCACTTCTCAGACATGATTATATCCCATATAACCATGATGTTTTCTTTTTTCATGCCTATCGCGGTGTCAACAAACACTCGTTTATTTCCATTTAGGATGCTGAATATCGGACTGCTAGCCATCCAGGTAAACGGCCGGTCGTTGTAGCAAGTACCGTATGACCTATCTCCTCCTCCTATTCCCATAAAAGTGGCAGAGGAAGCATTCCCTATCGACAAATGAGTCATCTCGACCATTTTTGGAACTCCGGTCGATCCAGAAGTCGTAAAAATGATGGCTGTGCTTTCTGGTTGTATTTTTGGCAATGCAACTACCTCCTCTTCTGTAGTCAGTATAGCGTCAGTCATCGAGGGGAGAGAAGACAGTGCTGATTTCTGTAGCAACAAAACTATCGGTTTACCTTTTGGTGATTTCTCACTAGTGAAGTACGCTTCCATATCTGATATGTAGTTTTCGTCCGATTCAGGATCGAGCAATACAGCCTTGCTATGTGTGGACTTTAGTAGCTTGGCCGTCTCGGCGAACGATTCTGATGTCTTGTGAACCTGGACAGAAACTGCTCCTGTTAGTAAGATGGCGAACTGGCCTATTATCCATTCGATGGAGTTGGGACCAATAATGGCCACACAGTCACCTGGCACTATTCCTCTAGCGGTAAGATATTTGGCGATGTGTGTGGACCTTTTCAGAAGTTCAGCATACGTCAGTGACCTCCTACCGCCTCCCTCAAATCTCTGAACGAATATTTCCTTTTCTGGAGCCTCATTCTTCCTTTCTTGCAATATGTCAGGTATTGACATGTACCGGATATAGTCAGTTTTTGGACATGAAATGTAGCTCAGGTCCGCCATTGTAGATTTTCGTCCCCACTCGTTACTTTCTGGAATTGAAATTGTCACTGATAAAGGAAAAAAGGTAATGTTAAATCTTCAGAACTTGATACTGATTTTTCAATATGTCTCATCGATGTAAACTCAAGATATTTTAAGAACAATCGTGCAGTGTTTAAATTATATATTCATTATAGGGACCACGGAACCAAATCAAAAAGAGTTTTTTTCCCCTTTTGGGCAGATCCTTCAATTGGAAGGTGAATGCCTCGGGGCCTGCTGGTTGGATAGTTAGGTTGCAGAAGCTTTAAAAGTTTTATGTGTGGGTTGGGCAATATATATAGATGTAATATGTATGAATTATTTAAAAAAAATCAAGTCTGCTTTCATCTGGGGGAGTTTATTAAGTGTGTAATTTGTTGTAAAATTTGGTCAATTTTTGGTGCCGAATTCAATACATAATGGCGGCCCCCATATAAAAAAAAGTTCAAATAGGCAGAATTTTTAAATATTTTATTTACAGTTGTGTGAGATGATAGTCTTCAAAATGAGGGCAGGTAAATCAGTGTGGATAACCCCATTTAGCCAGAACAGTGGTAAACGTTAACACTTTTATCTATGGAAAATCATTTGGTTAGGCGGTCCCAATAATATATTGCTATGTCTATACAATACAATAAAATAGCAGTAAGTATCAAATTGCATTTTCGGGTTTTCTCGGGTGACCAATTTTGTTATCGCTAGCACGTGAATACAATCAAAAGGAAAGCACAGGTGTACCCGAGATTTCACACTTTGTAATAAACTATTTTTATCTATATACTGCTACCTTATATATTTATCCATTCATAAAAAAAATCAAGCATGCACCGCATTGCCATACGACTAATTGGTCTAATGATCATCGTGATCTTCGATCAGTGGGTAACCAAATATACTTTAACGCGGAGGAACACCATTGGACTAGAAAACGATATGTAGAAAGATATTTTGTAAAAATTATCGCCATTGGCTTCTCCATCTATACATTTACTCCTGATTCGGTGTAGTTACTTTTTTACAATTTTATAATCGTTCATTTATGACGAACTATTTGCCAACGTGGAACACTTTTGATTTTTGATTTGGAACGATTTGAAGCTTTCGCTTATCACTAATTAAAGTTTACCATCCTTTGAGCAACCGAGGTCACAAGGTTTGATATTTTCTGCAATTCATACAATACTCGTGGAGGTCGCCAACAATCATACACAGCGGATGAATCTAAATTATAGATTGTGTGTGAAATGTGAGAAATTGAAATACATAACATTCTAACATCATAAAAAGATGTCTTTAAAGGGTCTTTATTTATCGAAAGAAACCGAGGAACTCACGGACATCCCACACGGTCGGGCAGGTGACCCCATACCTTTTCACGTCCGATGGGGGAATCATACGAAAGCTACCCTCCGAGTGCGTTAACTACAGTTTATTTAACACGGATAACCTTTATACATGTTTATTGTTAGCAGTGGCATCGTGCTAACATGTCTGTGGTTAGCTGTCGACAGGGTCTGGTTAACACTGAACGCCTACTTTATAAGTGTGGTTAGCTGTCGACAGGGTCTGGTTAACACTGAACGCCTACTTTATAAGTGTGGTTAGCTGTCGACAGGGCCTGGTTGGCAATAAACACTTCATACATGTGTATCAGTGGTACTGCTGCCATTTAGAATTTCGTTTAAACCTACTTAAAACAATGACATGTTCGACGTCTAGTTATCAAAGGGCGAAATACTACTCGCACACACTTACTTTTTTAACGTAAACGGCTTTCTGGGCTTTTTGAAACTATTGTTATAAAATGTTATTACATTATATTAAGGTTATCGCAGTATCAAGTGAGATATTAAAAGTTATATCATAATATCAATTGTATATCACTTACATATTTTGTATTTATTATTTATAACAGTTATCAGAAAGTGACCGCTAATTTGTATAGACTCTTCGAGTGGTTTCGAATATATCGGTAAACATATTCCAGATACATGTAGATCCTTTTACGTTATGACCGATTTATTTGTTACATTAAATATATTTGACACCGGGTTTCCATAACACTCGTTGCGTTGATCGGCTGAGAGCTAATGAGATTGAAAGAATCTGCAATAAAAGTACTTTTTTCTAACCGCTTACCTTCACTATTATGTCATAGTTCTACCACGAAATAATGTTTGATGAGTTGATGGAAACATAAGATCATGTCCAATTGTTCAAACCTTTATTTACTGCGATATCATACACATGCAGTATAAAGGGCGACCACGCCACCAGATACATCATCGTGAACGCAAAACGTCCTATAAACGTTACGCCTTAAATTAGTTGGCTAGCGCGCCCGACTAAAATTGCGGATATATCAGCTGTCCAGCAATCACTAGGATTACATATGTAGGTCAACATGGACAATTGTATATCATTCCTTTTTGATCATATTCCTAGCATGACGTATTCCTGCAGATCTACATATCTTGGTAAGGGTCAACCGGTCCTTATTTACGTCAAATGGTATAATCGTTTTCCTGACTGGAAGCAATCGCTTAGAGGAAATGTTTTTTAGGAGACATTCAGTAGCTATCAGGACCAGTTGTACATTATAATGTATTCACACTCAATATGGTTAAACCTGGTAGTTCAACGGTTGACAACTCGTAACTGTTATAGTGTTAGCAGGTTCTTACATTACGCCGCCGATTCATACGTAATATCGCTGTCATTATTGTGCAGGCAAACTGCAGATAATTAAATCGTTAGGATTGATGTCATACAAATGACAACGATGTTTATTTATTTTGATGGAAAACAAGAAGTTTGATTCTCCCACAACCAGTGTAGGTTTCCTCACTTACGACTCATTGGATAAACCTGCTAGGATTTAGTAAACCTTTTCGGTTACCCACTAGTGGGTTACACCCTGGACGTGATTTCATTGGTAAATCTTTGATTTATGACGTCACGTAACGATGCTTATCGACGACATGTCCATTGTGATGTCATGCGCCATTGCCAATGGTTTTCCTATCGGAAACACACATGATGTATTTTCAAGGGGGAAAATGTGAATTTCAGATAAAATACAAGCCTTATGGCAGAAACAGGTCCCAAATTTCATGATGATTAGTTATCATGTTTATTTAACTCTCGTTAGTAAATTTTCAAATGGTAAAAGACACTCGGTAAACCTCGTGTCTTTAAACAAGTTGAAGCTTAAATAAATCGAGTTAGATCAACATAGTAACCAATCAGCACTCGGTGGGGAACCTCTATATGTATAATGCGTGTGCTGAGATAACTTTGATATAAGATATTAGTACCAATATATTTTAAGCATCGTATCTAAATCCGTATTTTAGCTTTACTGAAACTGTTTTGTTAACCAAGCCAGCAACAACCAAAATTCGATTAGAATGACGTGATGGATCACAAAACAAAAATAAAGCCGCGGTCACATCATACGGTCACGCACGTAGTTGACGGTGGTTCATGTGCCACTACGGTCAACTAGTTTGAAGTAGGTTTGCAAAAGAGGAAATGTAAAGAAAGTAGGGTGAACTACATGCAACTACGGGAAACTGCGTTGAACTACGAAAAACTGGCTTTGGTTAACTAAGATCGTACTACGTCTTACTACGGGCAACTACTTTAAACTAAGATCAAGTCGGGTCTGTAACGGTCAGCAAGGGTCAACTACGTTCAAACTACGGTCAAAGTAGGGTCTTGACATTTAAACTCACCGTAAAGTAGTTTTGAAATGTAGAAAATGTTCGGGCTAACCACGGCCAAATCATGGGTTTCTTGAAGTTCAAACTACTTTTATAAAGACGTTGAAGTACGTTTAATACGTTTAACTATGGTCGCCTATGGTCAACTACAGTCAGATACGGTCATCCACCACTACGGTGAACTACGTGCGGGACCATAAGATGTCACCGCGGCTTTAAGAAGAGGATTGCTCCGAAAATTTGAAAATATCATCGTTACGTTTGTCATTGATATTTTTGCATTATCTTACGTAGCAGTACTTGAATGTAAGATACATATTTAGTTGTTATATTCACAAGATCGAGCGACAACTACATTGTAATAACATCCTTCATCAATATTACTAACAAGAAAAGTGCGTTACGGTTAAAATGCGCCTTATTTGTTCTCAGTCAAGGTGTTAAAATGAATAATTATCAAATAACATTACAGATCACATTGTTTCATAAGTCTTGCCTTATACAAATTCTTTTTAAAATACATTTAGAGAAATTATAACAACGAAAAAAACACAGTGCCTACGTACCTGATGGCAGTCACGTCTATCTCAACCGCTTAATATCAATGTTGATTATAACTTTGCAGCTGACAAGCTATTTATGCCATTCTGTACGGTTTTAGTCGTAAACATTCTTCATACATTAAACATGATACTACGTACAGTTATTACATTTTAACTGCCTTTAAACATATTTAAAACCATTAAACAACATCCTGATCCATATGTTACCGAGTTAAAATTGCAAATATGCCGGATGCTTTATATTTAGTAAATAAAAGCACGACATGTGAAGGCATATTATAAATACCAAGATGTTGCATGGGCTTACAGAACGCAATGTGTAGGTTAAGCTATGGTCAAAAAGGTTTTGTTAACACGAACGCCAACTTCCATGTGTGTGGTTAACAGTTATCGTTATATTACAGTTGTAATAGGGGGAGGTCCGTGGAGGGTGTGCATCTGTTGTCACTCGATCTGTTAATCCGTGTCGTGATCGTATAGTTTTTGCTATTCATTACGAGTCAACAACTTTCACTGCAGCCCTCTACAGATCTTGCCTTTACGATAGGTTACAGGCCTGTTAACACACTGATAACATTCTTCAAAACAAAACTACATTTAGAAATCAAATTCGAGGAAATCGATAAAGCCCATAGACTCGATACTTTCAAAAAGGATCGACCACGTAACATAATTTGTAATATCAACAGTA